ATGTATGCTTCCGATATGTTTGCTTTCTTCGATTATTTCAAATGTCAATAGGTTTCGAATAGTAGTAATGTACTCAAGGAGTACGAAGTATTCTTTTGATAAGTTTTCTCTTCTCAAGTACTCAAAACTTCGATAAACGCCAAAAGATCTAAACTTACTCAACGATTAGAAAATGTTACCCGATAATATATTGCTTTCGAATATTATAACATTGTTGGCTGTTGAGAGAGGCTCAAACTTGTAAGAGAGTAAATAGAAAAAATAAAGTGGTGAACAAAATGTAAAGACATTTTTATTTTTGCTATAACTCAGTCAACTTTATAGCTAAAGATCTGATTCTTTCAGCATTAGAGAGATCTTGTTAGGTACTATTTTACCTTGAAAACATTGTCCAAATCAAGCCAGTTTTAGTTGAGTTATAACGGAAACAATCTTTCCTCAGTGGACACAATTTTAAGACATTTTTAGTATTTTGTATTTTCTGACCAAGTCATTTCACTGAAAGCATTTGAAGCATATACTATGCGACGCAGAATTTTATGCTCTATATTTTTGGAAACAAAAAACTTTTAACCCACAATCAATTCATAGTTTTTAAATTTAGTGTTTTTTCATCTCAGGGACTAATGGCATTTCAAAATGAAGAATATAAAAAATCTCAACACCAACTAGTGTTGTGGAAAAAGCATCAAAAACTGAACCAAACCATGTAATTTTCATACAAAAACTAGTCTTTGAGAGTGAATTTTGAAGAGTTGTCCCCTTTCGATGACTCATTGGTTCTCGAATTTGAATTTTTGTTCTATGAAAAAATGAATTTAAAATGTTCGGTTTATATCAGTTTTGTAGAAAATTAAATCTTCTACAAAATGAGATCTTCCGCACTTCTCTACGACGCCCACAAAAATTGTTGTGTTCAAAATACTTTTCGTAAAGAAAAGTAATAAGCCAAATATGACGAAGACGATAGATGACTCCTTTTGTTAGTATTTTTGAACACGAGAACTTTTGTGAGCGTCGTAGAGAAGTGCGAAAGATCTTACTTTGTAAAGAATTTAATTTTCTACAAACTGATGTGAACCGAAAATTTTAAATTCATCTTTTCATAGGAAAAAAATTCAAATTCGAGAATCAATAAGTGATCAAAAGGCGACAAGTCTTCAAAATTCACTCTCAAAGGCTAGTTTTTTGTATGAAAATTACATGATTTTGTTCAGTTTTTTATGCTCTTTTCGAAACACTCGTTGGTGTTGAGATTATTTATATTCTTCATTTTGAAATGCCATTAGTCCCTGAGACGAAAAAAAAAATAAATTTAAAAACTATGAATTGATTGTGGGTTAAAAGCGTTTTGTTTTCAAAGTATAAAGCATAAAATTTTTTGCGCCGCATAGTATATGCTTCAAACGCTTTCAGTGAAATGACTTGGTCAGAAAATACAAAATACTAAAAATATCTTAAAATTATGTCTCCTACTTTATATTTCAAATTTTCGATCGGTTACCAAACCTATCGTATGCTTTTCAAAATGTACTTTGCAGTTAGACAATTCTTTGTTAACTACACATATATTAATACATGAAGCTAAATACAAAAATATATTTGATGAGTTTATATGATGAAATGAATAAACTATAGCGTCAAACGTCTATTTTCAAAAACATAAAATAAAAAGTTGATTATATTTTTACATTGAATTGTTCCCATAGATATTTTAGTCAAATGAAAAACATACTTACTTATGGAGAAAGAATTTTTTTTCTCCTTCTACAACTTATTCTGAAAAAGAAATGTAAGTAGATGTTACCCTACTTTCTATCAACAATACTATTGTTTTTCTTTCTCAACACGAAAAAAGTTAAAAGTTTTTTTCGGTTTCTTTCTTTTTTTCTGATTCTGTTGGGTGAAATACATTTTCTTCGTAGACGATCGAATCGCCATAAGAAATAAAAAAAACTGGCACGATCAACAAATATACTATTTCTATCGAGGTTACATACTTCACAAAGAAAAACTATGGAATTTTTCAACATAATCTTAATGCATAAATTTATATTAATGTGGTCGAAAAAAAGTCGATATGTCTTAGTAGATTACACATCGAACAGAAGTGTCTAAAGTTCTACTACTATGTAAACTTGATGACATTCGACATTCACTCAAACTTCAAAAAGGTAGTGTAAAGATACTTTGAATGTCGATTATCGAAAAATAAATAATTCGCAAACAACGAATAATCCCCATGGGAATTCGGTAACAAATTCCTGTTTGCGATAAAAATACTTACATTAGACTGGATTATGAGTTCTTCTGATCTGTTGATGTAATCAGACAAAAGTTATACTTTGTTATTAAAAGAATTCTATCAACCTTTCTCAACATATTTGTCATTAACATTAATCAATTACTCGTGTGATTATCTCGGAGAATGATTGTTTTTTATCAACTGTATTTACAGGATTCATATGTCAAATTTTTGGTTGAATTATGTTGGATGTTGAAAGAAACAAAATCCATCAAAGATTTGTTTTTTTTTGCCGGACTCTTTCTAAGATATTGAAAGTTCTAATTAAAGATTAACTAATGAATATTGTGATTGAATCTTGATATTCTCAACTTGCATTTCAATGAATATTTTACGAATTTCTATGCTTGAGATCATCACATGCAAAAATGTCAACTGTGGTTGTGTATGTCTAGTATGTAAATCAATAAAAGAAGAAAAAAAGCTCTCCGTGCATAAATTATGCATTGCAACACACAATGTTTATACTACATAGAGTCCGTTGAGAGTTTTTTTTTCTCTCTTTCTCTTCAATACCATGTGAAGCATTATATTTATGTGAACAGTCATCAGATTTTTTCTTCAAGGTACGAAATACGTATATAATGGTTCATCGTATATTTTCTTTCTAGACATACACACATAAAAAATTGATCATTAGGTGTTGCAGTGATCTGGAGAAATAAAATGTCAGAAAATGTTTATTCGAATAGAAAATAAAAATAACAAGATCTAATCGATACTATCTGTTTTCTGAAGGCAAATTTACCTGAATTCTTCTCCTATCGTCACTGACGACGATTAAAATGAGAACAGTCACAGATTCAACTGTAAGAACAATTGATTCGAGATGGTGTCTAGCAAAAGTAATTAAATCAGCATTATAATGAGTGTTCGTGCAACGAGAGAGAATTGATAAGTATCTGTTGAGATTTCACAATCATCGTCTCACTGACATTTTTTCTTGAAAATATCTTTTGTTTTCCATTTCCTAGCGGAAATAAAACTTTTCTTTTAATGTCAAGAAGATGAAAAATATATACATACTTTTAAATAGGAAACATCAATAAGCAAAGAAATGAGTTTCAATTTAATTTTATTGAACCGTATTGAAGATATATAAATTATTCGATATTGAAGAATTCGGAGTCGAGACTACTTCGCGCCTCAATTTGGATTCATAACTCTGTTGAGCTACTATCTAGCTGCTTTCTCGATTTATGAATTATTGTCCTGCAATCTAGTCAGATATCCGGCATCCGACCGAGCCATCAATAAGATCCTGACGTTTCAAAATATTTTTACTTTTCAAACTGCTCATTTATATACAAGCATAGAAATGAAAACCTGCGCACTTTATTCTACTTGGAAACAGATTACACAAGTAGAAAGCAATATTATTTTACTAAAAGAATGTGTTTTTAATGAAAATTCATCTACAGATAATAGTGAATCATATGACGAAGTAATTGAATACATTAATGGAATATAAATTATCAAAAAGGTGAACATGTATTATTGTAACGGAAAAAGCATTCATGCATGTATCCACAATTATGACGCTTGACAACAAAATTGCGTTCCATCCCAGAGTCATCAGTTATAAGCACACATATACTTAGCGAAATTCATGAGATTTTAGAAGCAGAAAGACACCAAGCGACGTAGAATTACATGTAGATATTCAATAATGAAAAGTAAAAATTTGATGATTTTTATATATCTGAATAAGTTTTGGGGCTGGTTCGATGATCTTGAGTGTATAAACTACAATCTAATATCATTCATGGACGATTTCTTGTAGTAGTAATGATTTCGACAAAAGTACAAGAATTTCAATAGAACTAATAATGAGTTATTTCGATGGTAAGTCATCGTATTTATATACGCGACACTTTTTGTTCTTATAATAAATTCATCTTAATGAGATTTAAGTATAAAAAATCAAGTCTAATTTTTACAGTTTATGATTTATCCAATAGGAAACTTACTCATCTGTGCATATCTTACGATCTAAACATACATAACAAAACCATTTAAATATGATCGAAAAATGATTTTTGTATGCACGTGAATGAATCTTTAGTATACATTTAGAATTATGTAATTTATATACGTCATTAAGTGTATGCCCTGACTGATATGATTTATAAGATAACTTACTTAAAGTCATAGAATATTTAGGTATAATCTTTGGTTTCGGTTGAGACAATTTTTCCCCGTAGTCTTGATCCCGATCTCAGCAACATCTCTTTTCTGTAGTTCAGTACAACTCTAATCGCTTCAGATGGCAATTTTTTTTTCTTTCAAGGTTACTCAGAAAAATAATCTCGTAACTCAGAGATTTAAATTTCTTCAACATAATAATTTTCAAATCATTGGTTATTTTCTTGAAAATTAGTTAAAAGTAAAACAATTGAAATTCCCTGCAAACAATTTTTTCTTGAATAAATCAAAGTAAATTGTTTGTTTTTAGGAAAATGCCGTTGTTTTATTAAATGGACTATATTGAATTTGGGCTCCATGTGAACAAGTAAGTAATACTCGATCAGTCAAAAAAACGAAGATGAAAATTTGCGTACAAAAAAAAAGAAACAGAAAACGAACCAACGAACAAACAAACAGAAATCGACTAGATCGTTTGACGTATATAAGAGAAATACACACTGTCAAGCATAATGAGAAAAAAAAGAGAAACAACTGCTCATATAAATAATTAAACACCGTAAATATGACGAGCATTTTCTCTTAATTGACAAGCAACATCCATTATCGGTAAATGTCGAAGTTGTGCTACCGTTTCAACAACACTGTAAACCATACCAGGATGTGCACAGCGTGAAAATATAGATAACTAAAATGTACGAATATAAATGATGTAATAAAGATTTTCTATTTATAGAATAAATATATGTTCTATACCTCTTCAGGTGTAAAATACGGTGAATCAGTTTCGGATAAGATTTGTGTTAATTCAAGTTGTTGTATAGTTGTATCAAGAAAATTATTACGAGTTATAATTGGAGTAAAACCAAATTTAATTTCGGTAAAATAAGATGTAAAAAGTTCAACATCGTCCATTGTTCCAACGAAACAATGTAAATGAATCTTATGATTAGGTTCAAGATACTAAAAATATGACATATTTCAGAAAAATTATGAAAAATACATAGGGGTAACCAAAAGTTCTCAGAGCATTAAATAAAAATATAAAGATGCAGAGATATTTTCAATTTTATTTTATCAAATGTTGAGAATAGTTGCCATGATTATTTATATCAAGTACAATCCTTTCTAACAATTTAGTAAAAGTTTTTTTGAAGTCTTTTTCGAAAAAATATTTAGCTGCCCTGAAAACTGCATGAGCTAAACATGTTTCATTTATTTAATCAGTTAAACTACGTTCGATAAAATTAGTTAGCCACAAATTGCATAGTAACAGGCTTGGCGAATGTGGCTGCTATGACATTATATTGATGTCTTCTATCGAATAATTAATCACATCAGATGAGTATGAAGTCAACGATCATCTTTAAGCAATTTTGTACATTTTGAACCTGATGTCCATGTTTGTTTCCATATTTCATTAACAGAAGAGTTCAAATAATTTTCAATATAATACTTGTGATCTACAGTCTTGCCTTTATCTAACTCAGGGCTATTTGATTTAATGAATATACTAAACAAAGTTTTGCTTCACATCTTTCTCCACGAACAATAGTCTTTGACAATTCATCTTCAATAAGCCAGTTAGCATCAGATGACTTATGACTGACCTATGTAAAATAAATCCATATCCCATTACTAGTAATGCTAGAATGCAACTGACATGATCGAACAAAATTC